CATTTTTTGGAGCTGTGGTCAAAGAGGACTGGAAAAAGTTTATCTAACTTTAGCCTATACAGGTAGTCCTCAACTTACAACCACAATTGAGCCAAAGATTTATGTTGCTAAGTGAGAATTTTTTTGTGAGTTTTGCCTCATTTTACAACTTTCCTTGCTGCCTATTATTGAGTCGCTGCAGTTGTTAAATTACTAACACGGTTGTTAAGTGAATCTGACTTTCCCATTGACTTTAAAACAGAATAGAATAACAGAGTTGGAAGGGACCTTGGAGGTCTTCTAGTCCAACCCCCTGCCTAGGCAGGAAACCCTACACCACTTCCGACAAATGGTTATCCAACATCTTAAAAACTTCCAATGTTGGNTCAGAAATGGTGTAGGGTCTCCTGCTTGAGCAGGGGCTAGGACTAGATGACCTTCAAAGGTCCCTTTCAACTGTGTTATTCTGCTAAGTGCTACAGATGCTTCCTGTTTCACCAAATAAGAGCTATACAATTTATTAAGTGAGGGCCAGGTTGCAATTTCTTTCCATCACTTTTTCTTTCCTCTCCCTCCCTCCCTCCTTCTACTTCATCCCTTCCCTGCCCTCAAAGTCACTCCTTTGTTTGCTCTAATATTTGGCTGGTCTGATCAGTATCTCTTCTTCCCTCTGTGCTCACCTTTCTAGCCACGTCATCTCTCTTATACTTCTTCTGGGCAAAGCAGGGAAAGGTTGATTGCCATGCAAATAAAGATATTTTTTTGGCCAAAGACCTTAAACAGATGGCTGGCCTTCTTGGGAAAAGAGGCAGCTTTGCCAAATCATACAGTACAAAAAAAGAAGGTTAAGTCACTTCTCGTTTTAACGAATTGCAAACACCTTATAACTTTGCTTGCATGTTGACAGAGAAAAAGAGCAAGCAACTTTTTGTGGACAGGGGCTGGTTTGTTTGTTTTTAAAGGCTGTGGGGACAGTACTATGTCCCTACCTAGCCAAACCCTTTCTATGGGGTTTGTTCTTGTTGTTAGTTGCGAAGTCGTGTCTGACACATCGCAACCTCATGGACAACGTTCCTCCAGGACTTATTGTTCTCTACCATCCTCTGGAGTCCATTTAAGCTCACGCCTACTGCTTCAGTGATTCCATCCAGCCACCTCGTTCTCTGTCATCCCCTTCTTCTTTTGCCCTCAATTGTTCCCAGCATTAGGCTCTTCTCCAGTGAGTCCTTCCTCCTCATTAGATGGCCAAAATATCTGAGTTTCATCTTCAGGATCTGGCCTTCTAAAGAGCAGTCAGGATTGATCTCTAGGACTGACCAGTTTGATCATCTTGCAGGCAAGCAGTGGTGGGATTCAGCTAGTGCGCACCTATTCTGGAGAACCAGTTCTTAACTTTCTAAGCAGTTCAGAGAACTGGTTGTTGGAAGAAATCTTATTTTGCTTCTCCCCCCCCCCCACACAC